GAAGAGCTGGGGGACAGAAGACCTGTGAAGAGTGGGGTGTTTAAGAGTCGGGAAGCAGTGGGGATGAGGGCAGGGAATGGGATGGAGAAATGTGGAGAGGTGGCCTCCCTGGGACGTGCATAAGAGAGGAACAAGCATAAGAGGAGGAGCAGGTTTGGGTAAGATGACGAGCTTGGGTTGGACCTGTTGCATCAGAGGTGACTATGGGACATCAAGGTGACAATTGGCTTATGGGTCTGGAGCCCGGGAGGGAGATTGGGATTTGAGGGGCACGGGTGACTCGGGAACCTGCGGCCATGGCTGAGATTGGATGGGATGTTAGGGGAAGGCGGGTATTAGGGATTAGATCCTAACCTTCAGAGAAGGAACCACAGCCCTAAGAGAGAATATTCAGGAGGTGACTCGGGAACCTGCAGCCATGGCTGTGAGATTGGATGGGATGTTAGGGGAAGGCGGGTGTTAGGGATTAGATCCTAACCTGCAGAGAAGGAACCACAGCCCTAAGAGAGAATATTCAGGGTCAGGCTGCTGGTTCCAGAAGGGTTAAGTCAACCCCCTCCCTCCCCATCACCCTCCCCCCAGGAGCCAGTGGTGACAGCTGAAGCCATGTGAGTTGGATCCTGAATGAGGCTTTATCTCTGGCTCTTCGTCATCGGCCACCGTTCACCATCCACCATGGCACCAGCTCCCTCGGCCAGCCGGGATGGGACAGGCAACTGAGAGAGCCAGAGAGGTCAGCTGGGGAAGGGGGATCCCTGGAGGGGTGGGGGTGCTTTATATGGGGAAACTCTCCTGGGGTCACTGGGGAGGCATCCCAAGCAGCAGTGCTGGGGAGGGGGCTTTCCTGGGGGGTGTTCCAGGGGACATGGGAGGATTCCCAGGGATGATCCCCACAGCCCCCAGGAGAGACCATGGGGGGCAGGCGGGCTGGGGAGGTAACAACAGTGATTCTCCCTCACAGATGATGGTGCCTTTGCCCTGGACTGTGAGAGGAATAGGACTTTGGGCTTCCAGCTGCCAAGCAGGTGGTGGGGGCTCCAGGCCATGATCTGCACCCTCTAACCCTGGTGCTGCCCTCTGCCCTGACTTTCACCGGACCCGGCCATGTCGGAAGGAGAGGCTCCTGCCCCGCGGGGCCGGGCGCTGCCCCCAGATGTGCTGGCAGAGCAGGTGGAGTTGTGGTGGTCCCAGGAGCCGCGGCGCTCGGCACTCTGCTTTGCCATGGCGGTGGGCCTCGTGGC